GCTTATAATAAATTTCCTATTAAAACTAATACATTTTTAAACTTCAATTTCTTTGACTTCTTCTTATTAATTTCTTTCCAAATTTCGCGAAAGTATTCTAAATAACCGTCTCTTTCATGCAACTAGCTGCTTTTTTTTTAAAAAAGCTATTCATATTTCAAACATAACAAAATAACTATTTCTGAATAATTCCTCTATAGGAAAAGTTTCGCTTTTTTAATCTTCAAAAAAACAGTGTCACATTGTTCCTAAGGTCGCTATGTATGCATTTGAACTTTATCACTACATAAAAGCTACTAAAATTATGTGAAATTGAATTTTACAGATTTCGGATTATTTAATGGGAAGAATTTCAAGCCGTGCCCGTCAATTAAAAAAGCTCGTGAGGAGCAAATAAAAATGACAAAAAACAAAAAATTAATGAACCTTAAATAGGATGGACGAACTAAAACTCAACAATGCTTTCTATTGGCTCTAATTCATTTGAAAAACAAATCCAGTATTAAAAGGTCCGGGAGCAAAGAAAAAATCACCATTATGTAACTTAAATTTGAAGAATAATATAATTTTAGATGATGCAGAAAGAGTTAGAAAAGCGGATCAATTATTTGAAAAATTTTTTTCTAAAAAAAAAAAAATATAATTTTCTTTATTACTGTATAAACTCTGTAATTGGTATTAAAAAACTAAATCTCTAACAGTAAATTTTTATATGATACTTAACAAAGTTTTGATTTACAATGCATCATAAGCTTGATGATTATCTTTTAAGTGATTTCTTATTCCGTTTCCTCATAGGGACTCATTTACCTGTGCTCGATACATTATAACTTTTTTTATATAAAGGTCAAAAATTTTCCAAGACCAGTGATGAGAAAAACTTCCGTCAAAAAAATTAATATATCTAATTCTAGAGATGATCGGTAACATCGATCACGTGTTCGTGAATTCTCAAAAGTTTTATTTATTTATTATTTATTATTTATCGTTATTTAATGTACAAGTTAATAAAAGATAATACAATCGTTTCGATATGGCAGTGTTAGTTTTGGGTGCTTGGGCAGCATACACCATTATTTGTGTTGTAGGTTTTCGTCAATCCTTATTTGATTATTTTGGAATTTCAACTATTACCAAGTAAAAATTTCATAACTCGATCTTTTAGGTTTTATTTATATTTAGTATCGCATTCACAAGATATTATCAAGATAAACATGATAGTGAACGGCTTGCAACAATAGTAGCAATTTGTTCCTTAGCATTATGTTTAAGTACAGTTGCTTTGTTCCCTGTAGACATATTCTTAGTCTCAAGTACTGTTGATTTGAGTACAGGATTAAAACATGAATGGGCTACCAAAGAAGTTGTAGAAGGAATTGTCCATAATCTTAAATTCGTATATTATGGTAAATTCAGATACTCTTGTGAATCTAACCGTTTAAATTACAATTAACTTATTCTTTAAAAATCTTTAGGAACATATGGATTGATTGCAATTTTCTGTGCATTTATTATTCCATTTGCATATTTTTATTTTGAAGAGCTTGAAGAAGATCAAACAAATTCGCAGGTAAGTCCTGATTTAATATTATTTTTAACTTCATACCTATCAATTATATTAACCTTGTTTTTTTTTTGATGCAGCGCGTCACGGCAGCTTTGAAGTATACTGCATTCTTCGTGGCATTTGTATGCATCTGTTTATTGTTTGGATTAATTTTACAACCATCGGAGAAATTGCCACTTGATTTAGAATTTTTCAAGAAATTATTAGCTTCAAGTCGTAAGTTATAAAATTTACTTTTTAAATTTAATATAATTATAAAAATATATGCTAAATTTTTACATGTTATATTCGTAGTTGGGGAGAATAGTATTTCATTTGTCATATCTATTCTTATGATTCTCGGGATGATCGTGTTTATATGTTACACTGTAAGAATATATCTTTTAATTTTGGTTGAAATTTTTGACACGTCAATAATATATTTTGAATAGGCCCCGGGACTTTTTCTTCTCCCAATTGGAATGATTAAAGGTACAAATAAAATTAACTCTGAATCTAGCTCAGAGTTGAGTTCTTCACTTACTTTAAATCGTGAAAAACAAAGAATTCTTAAAGCAAAGAATTCGGGTCCAAACAATATGATGTCAAGGAAAGATGCAAAACAGTTTGAAATTTTGAAAAAAGAAGAAAAGTAAGCAGATTATACTGTAAATCTTTTATACATATTTGTTTTTTTAATACTTTTTTTTTTTTTTAAGGATTTTGCTTCGTCGATTGAGACTAATTACCGAGTCAAATGGAATTTGGAACAAGATTATGTTTATCCTTAGGCCATTTGAAGTGTGTATCTTATTTGATTTTTTTTTTTTTTGTTATTTTAACATAAAGAATGTTTTGTTTAACGTTTATGATTTATTAGCTCATAATTGGCTTTTTGTTGACTATATTGACCATTGTAATACTCATTTCAATATTCTTAACCTGGTAATTTTATTTATTGTTCAATATGTCTCTCTTATTTGCTATCAAATACTCAAGTTCGAAATTTTTTTTTTTAGTATTGATAAGGTCAAGAATTCAATTTGTGGAAGAGAATGTGGATATATTATTAATCATCCAGATATCTTTAATCCTCTTAATTTTATATTCCTCAAAGCAGCTAATGTGAGTTTTCATATATATTAACATAATTTATATGCATAATTAATTAATTTTTTCCTTTTTTTTAAAAAAATAAAAAACACTGACAATTCCTAGTATTTCCCTATTGATTATTTCTTCATGGTACTCCTTATCCTGTACTTTTTCAGTAGCACTGTATATGGAGTTATTTCAATTGGAATTCGTTTCTTATGGGTACACCTTTATAAGTTCCGTAAGAATTCTACACCTCCTCAAGGTAGAATTCAAATTCTTTTTAGTCGAACCTGATTAAGATTATTTGACTTGAAGATTTATTCTTTTTTTTATTTATTATTTTTTTTAACAGGATTATTGTTTGGTTCTATATTGTTCATGCTAAGTCTATTGGCACTTAATTACACTTTGACTATGGTGGTTACTCCTCAATACGCTCAATTTGGAAGCCAAATATATGTGAGTTTTGTTTCTAATTTATGAATAGCTTTGGCATTATTTTACTCACCAAGTTAAAATTTAGTGTAATCATACGGTAAACGAGGTTCGTAACTGTACCGATTATCCCCAATTAATTATACCATGTGATGTTACCGCACCAGCAGGTAAATATTACAAAAACAAATTTATGATACATTTTTTTTCTTTGAAAATTACTTAAAGATACAAATTTTCTTTATAAAGATATCTGTACGCCAACGGTAATTTCGACATTTATCCATCGTATAACAGTCAACACACCATTTTTCGGAGTAATATTTTATCATGCTCATTGGGTATTTTTGGGGGTTACATTACTTGGATTTATATATGCTATGATTAAATCACCTAGCGATAGATTATATGATGATTTAGATGATGAAATGGACGAAGAGGAGGAAGGATTGTTATCTAATAATGAAAGAAGAGGCAGAACCGACATTCGGGCTTAATGATTACTATTTTTTTTTTTATAATATTATTCTAAGTACCATCATTGTTATTTGATGACATTATTCTCTTATTTTAATTTATTAAAAAATTATTATTATTTCTTTTGTTTGCTTTGGGAAACCCTTAAACGTGATTTGACTAGCGTTAAAACTTCTTTGATCGATGCTTGTTTACGAATACCACGTGGAGATATGTATTTGTAAAATGCAAAATGCAATGCTGTGCATTCCATCAATGACAAGCGCATGATTAAAAATAAAAAAAAAATTTTTTTTTTTAATTTTTATAACATGAATAAATAAATATTCGGAGTGAAAATTTGTTTCGTTTAAATTTTGTAGGTTTTTGTTGTGATCATGTACATAATCCTGCATGAATTTATCAAAATATTGGATCAGTATTCAAAACCTCTGGCTAAATCATACTCTATATTAGATAATAACGAATTCCAAAGAGAATCTCTTTTCGTCTTATCTTTCTTGTTTTGCTTTTCTTTTATTTTTCTTCTTTTTTAAGAGTTCCATCACGAGGTTAAAGTTTAATGGCTAATTCCCCGAAACTACAAGAATTCTTATCATGGGCACAAGGTAATAAATATCACGATTAGTCGTTGAAATTTCATATTTCAAATTCACGTTTTTGTTAACTCAAAATAAATCAATATCCCTTCATAGAAAGAGGAGTCATTTCAGATATACAAGTACAAGATATACCGGATAAGGGGTTGGGTTTTGTTACAAAACGTAACGTTACTCGAGACAACTCAATAGTAGCTTATATACCGTATAGCATATTACTTAACGCGACAAAAATTAGTAGATACGCTAAAGATAAAGCACCGAAATTAGAGGAAACGTTTAACGCATTAATGGCAGAGGGAAAACATTTGTCAGAACGCGATATCTTCATACTTTTTTTATTATATGAGAGACTTGCTCCAGGAGGGGAAACATCATCATTATGGAAAGCGTACATTGATATATTACCTCGTACACTTCATACACCATTATTTTATGATCCAACATTGAGGGCATGTCTTGATGGGACAAGTTTGAAACCAGCGGTAGATGCAAAATATAATAAATTAAAAAAGGAATACGAATCATTAAGGTCATTATTTAATAAATGGTCAAAGGTGGAAGATGCTGGTGGACATGATGTTGTCACATTTGAGCATTTCAGGTGGGCGGATGGCGTGTTTTGGTCAAGAGTATTGTCATTTGGTAGTAGATTTCAAACGATTGATTCCATTGAAGGTGATTTGGATGATTTTCATTTGGTACCATTCCTTGATTTCGCCAATCATTCTTTAACACCTTACGCAAGATGGGAAATTGGAACGGAAGGGGTTGAATTAATCCTTACCAAATCTGATTCACTTGAACCGATCACCTCTGATACGGAAATTTGTATTTCTTATGGTGATAAACCAAATTCCGAATTATTATTTGTGCATGGATTTACTTTATCCGACAACCCATGGTCCGCGATCTCGTTTCCCGTTCCATTTTATGATGATGATGAATTGGCAAAAGCGAAATTATTATTCATGCAATATCATGGTATTAAACATTTAGTCTCTCTCGCAAGGAAAAAAGGTGGTGCGGAATTATCCCATGATTCGACTAGAGCGATGTGGATATGTGTATTAGCCGAAGAGGATGGAATTAAATTTAAATTGAATCACAATGATCCTTCTCATCCGATTGATTTATTTATTGGAAATCAAATAATTCCAACGCTTGATGTCTTTGATAACGTTATTAATAGTATGGAATTATTACCTGTGATTGAGTTTAGGGTTATGGAATCTGTATTAGAAAATGTTGAATATTTATTATCCCACCTTAAACAAACGAATGAACAAGTATTAAAAATGATGGAACACGGAAGAAATTCCCGTGAATTAGAATATGTAAGGATTTATAGGGAAGACGAATATAAATTTTTGGAATTTGCTGTTGAAGATTTTACAAGAAAGCGTGATGCCTTAATGACCGATGAAGTTGTTCAACGTTTCATGCTTAATGATCAATAACGTCAAGGTTTTTTATTATTACAAAAATATATATATATATATATATACTGTATATATATTTTTTGTATTTTTATATTAGAAAGTTCTTTTTCTTTTAATTTTTAATGGTATTAAATAAAAGAAAAAAAAAAAAAAAATCTATTATTATTCATTTAGCTTTCCTGAACTTTTTTATTCGATTGATTATCTGGACCGAAGAACACGACGGTCACGGTAATGTCATCAACAAATCTTCTTGAAATTGGAGAAGGAAGAGATAATAAAGCGCAAACTTGATCTTGTTTTGCTCCTCCGTATGCATTTCGAATTAAATGTGTGGAAGCATTTTCATCAACAAAAGTAAACGCTTTTTCTTGCTTATAATTTTCCCATTTTAATTCGTCTTCTTTCAAGATAGGGGGATTCTCTTTATCATCAATAATATCCCTTCTTCCATCCAAAAATTCACCGACAAGTTCCACAACTTCTTCATTTGATAATTCATCCCATAATCCATCAGTTGCTAACACCAAGAATTTATCATTTTCCGTTAATTTATGACACGTTACTTCTGGTCTTGCCGTAACGTAAGGTGGTGTTTTATTTCTACTCCCACCAGCTAACCCTCTTTTGATCTTAAAAAATTTAGTAAAAATCCCATCCTGCATTTTCATATCCCATTTATATTTTGAATCACCAAAAGCTCTCGTTGGCTCTAATCCTCCAAATACTCTACCATTTAATATAATATTACCTTCTTCCCCCGGATGTTCCTTATCAATTCTTTTAACTTCATTTTCATTTCTTCCAGTTTGATCTTCACTTAACGCGACAGCTTTCCATCTTTTCCCTCCCTTTTCGTTATCAGTTTCCTTTACACCAAGTACGGCTCTTGAATCTCCTGTGCACGCAATGTATAAATCTTTATTAGCAGCATCAATATAGGCCAAAAGTGCGCAACTACCTGACAAAGCTGATAATAAACATTCTTCGATAGAAAAAAGTCCTTTAGTGTTTAATAATTTATTTATAGAATGAATTACAACTTCTTCATCTAATTCGACAAATGCTCTTTCTATCGCTTTCTTGTTTAATTCTTGATTGTCTGATATTAAATTTGAATACTCTCCAATTCCTTCAATCGCTTTATCCAAATTCTCTTTTACTTTTGGTATTAATTTTTTACTTAACAATTTGGATGTGGTCCACCCTCCATGCCCATCGAATACACCAAAGAATAACCTATCTCCCACTGTACTTTCAACCTTGCTTCTTTTTGGTGAATTAAACACAAATTCTTCACTTTTCATATCCTCAACTGGATAATTTGATCCCAATTGATTAGAATCGTACCTCCATATTCCATTACTCCTTTGTAATAAGAATGAGATTTGATTTTCTCGTAATTTTGCTGTCGCCTCTCTAGGTGACCTAATAATTGTATTGTTCCTTCCCCCATCCTCTTCATTATCGTTCAACGATGAGGAATTATACGTTTGTTGACCTTTTCTTCGAAAACCATAAAATAAAGTTATCACACCGGCTCCCAATATTGTCGTTGCTATACCATAATATTTCAAAGAATTCGTATTATGCGTAGAATTTTCGGATGGCTTTTGATGTACGTTACGATATGACACCCTTCGAATTCCTTTAAAAGGCAGCTTCCAAGCTTGTCTTTTTAACAAAAACATTTTGGGCAGAAAAAAGGAAAAAGAAAAAAAAAAATTTGCGCGGGTTGCGGTAATTTTGCGGATTGCTATTTGCGCACGGTTAAAGATCCAATCATGGATCGATCGACTCATCCATCAAGTGGCATATATGTAGTCATGATACTCCATGAATTTATAAATAAAAAAGATGAATTTGTTTTTAAATTTTTATATTTGTTTTAAAAAAAAAAATTTGCTTTTGATAATTTAGGTTCTTAAAAATTAGAAAAGGACACGTGATTGTGCAAATTATCAAATATAACTGGTATTTTATAAAAGTCTAAACCTCACTTTGGAGGAAAAAGGTTTTTCAACGATCCATTCACAAAATTGTAATAGTATGTTTTTTCTTTGCTTTGGACGCGAAATGATCTTAAAAAAAAATAAAGGCATAAAAGTTATATATACAAATAAAAACAATAACGGAATATAATATCATTTATTATTTAGTTTTTTTACCGTTCTTTAATGGATCAGCGAAAGAATCTGTAAACGCGTTTTAATTTCAAACTTTAGATATTCAATAATTGTGTCAAATCGGAGGATTCAAAAAAGGAATACAACCATTCAATGGTTTCTGTTATGCGCTTATAGTATCTTATTAATTTAAACAATTAATTGTAAAAATATTAACAAGCCTCCGCCACAACGCTTTGCAAATTTAAAATTTATAAAATATTAGATTTTTGTTAAAAAATTATTGAGATTTTCCTTTATTTTCATTTCGTAAACAAATATATATACATTCCTACCAAAAAGTTTAAGACCACCTATGATTTTTTTAAAAAATCAATGTTTTTTTATCATTAATTTTTCATTAGACTCTAATAAATAAATGATATCTTTATTCATAAATGAATATTTTCAACGGCTTTATTTATGATTTTAACCAAAAATAATAAAGTTTAATATATGAAAAAAAAAACTCTTTCCGTCGATCACCAAAACCAAAAAATGACTGGAAAAAAAACCGCTCATAATAACAACTTCAAGCCTTACCAAGCTCGCTCTTCCCCTATGGAGAACGACTAATAACAACAACGCCCAGCTAAGAAACAACATATTGAACCACCAAAACAAACTGAAACTTCAAACGCCTCTGGAAGTACCTCCAACAGCTCTATATATATGGAAGTTGAAACTTCACTTCCTAGCACCTTGGACAAAGGAAAAGGTCCTGAAACTTCTAATAATGACAATAATATTCCACTTGATGAGGACCAAGCCTTTGATGCTTCTGAAAAGGCCTCAACAATAAACAAATTGAAAAAAATAAAATCCACCTAGAACGCGAGACTGAAGTCCCAATCTACTTCGCCTACTGCGCTGCAGAAAAATTTTTCCCCAAAAAATCCAACAGAGAAAACAAAACGAAGCATGTGATATATTCGCATCACACTACTCGTCCTTCATTGGTGCCTCAATTCGTATTCACCCTGAGGATGCAACAAAGAAAATCGTCTGAATTGAATTCACCTCACATGCAGAAGCAAACAACGCAATTACACTTAAACTTCCATGTTTGGAAAATAACACATGTTTACCCTTCACAATCAAACCAATAGCTAAGTACATCCCTGAGTTATCGATCTGTCTCACAGAGATCCCGATCTCTACTACTGAATCAAATATTAGATTAACTTTCTTCTTTTTTGAAAAGATCTCCTGTTACGCCATGTCCACTAAAAACCTTTGGCAACAAGTTACTCTCACCTTTGAACAAGATACAGATATGACTACATTAAACAAATTAAACAGCTATTTTGTTCTCAAAGATTTAGTTGGGTTCACTTATGTACTATGTCAGTCAAAGATATTAGAAAAAAGTCTGAATTTTTCTTGAAATTAACTAATCTCCTACTTGACACAAATGGACGCCATCTAATCTCTATTGGCAATGCTATTGAAGCGATCACCTGGGTTATCCCCAAGTTACGTGCCAATTACAGAAATCTACAATATGCCATCTTTTATTTTAAAACTAAAGAATCTTTGAAAGTGGCAAAAAATGGCGAAACTTATTTCCTTGACAGGAAAAGATTAATCTGGACTGATCCAAATGCAAAACTTTGCTTTATCTGCCAAGTTCCAGGTTACCAATTGCAGAATTGTCACAAACTCATTCAACTCCACAAAATCGACAAACTCAACACTTATACCAATGATACTAGCCTGTATAGTTTCGTAATTATAAAGCACCAGTCGTTATTCTCAAACTACCGTCTCACCCTAAGAAACAACAGACTATAAATAAATATAAACTGAGCCAACAATAAAATATTACCAAAGATAAATCCACGTCAGACAACATTATCATTTCCTCCAATCATCGAACAAAAGTTCTTCAGACTAAACCACTAAATGAAGATCAAAACCAATAACATATCAACCCATCCGCCCTATCAATGATAAAGGAGAACAAACTCTAGATGCTAGTATACATACATTGCATCATTGGGCTGATAAAACTGAGAACGAATACTGCATGCCAAATAATACCTTAAATCAACAATCTCAATCAGAAGTGCTTACTCAAATTTTCAATCAACTATTCACTATCTCTAAGCAACTTGCCAAAATGAATGCAGATCTTCACTCAACTGCGGAACGAGTTGCCACAGTTGAAAAAGTTCTTAACATCAATGTCCTACTTCTCTACCAAGCAGAGTTACTAAACAAATCATTCAACGAAGACGGTATGGAAACTGAGAAACACATCTATGCCGCTAGTCCTTATACAAAAGATAATATTGTTGCTAAACAATCTGCTGAACTAACTACCTTAAAAGAAGAGAATGCTCTTCTCAAAACTAACCTTGAAAATAATATGATTAAACTCAATAATGCAGGATGTGCCATCGCTAACATACAAAGAATCTTACAAACACAACTTAAAATCAATCCAGACATTTTTACTGCTATTAAAGAAGTCGCTCCTCCTTCCAGTTATGAAAAAACAGCTGATGGTGTCTTTATTCCCCCACCCCCAAATATTTTTAATAATTGATAACTTATAGAATTATATACAGGTTGACTCCAGTAATCTGATAGCAAATAACAATATACCAAATACGAATATTATCAACAATTTATTTTTGACTAATAATACATTGTCTTCTTGACTCAATATTGCGATACACAATATTCATTCTTTTATTCAAGTACAAAAACAATAATTCTTGTTCAACACTTATGAAATTAACCATTTAGATATAATAGGCCTTCAAGAGATCAATTTTAAATCAATTAATAATACGTTAGCCTTTTCAAAATCAACCTCATCTCATTATTTGCATTTTTTTAACTTCAATCAATAGTCACAGAATTCAGGTTTCAGAGTTGGCCTTCTTATAAAAAAACATCTTGCTGATCATATTTACAAACATCACGGTTAACACAAACACTATATTTTCATCAATTTCCAATTTCACAATAAATTCCGCATTAGATTAATTAACTACTACATATCAAGTTCGAATTCAGCTCTTCAAAAATAAATATATAAAGAAGTATGCAATGTCATCAAATTAGCAAAATACCTCAACATAGAGATTATTTTACTAGGTGACCTAAATGCAGTCCCAGATCATTCTAATAATATGTCAAATGCTAATTATTTCTTCACCTAACTTAAAGACTTTCAACTCTTTAACTCATTCGATCTCTTACATAAAAATGCTAATCAACTATTCCCATCATTTTTTCACGTTATGCATCATCAACCTTTAAGAATAGATCATATGTACACTATATCATATATTGCAACAGGCCTTAACAAAGCCCAAACTATCAGTATTGATCCTAACATTTCTGACTATTTGATAGTTTATATCAATGTAAATATAGCTGAAATTACCACTTTAAATAATAACAAAAAACACACCAAAAAGAAAATTTACCTGTATAAAGCTATGGACGAAATCTCTTAGACACAATTTGGTAAAAAAATGGATGATTTTCTTGGAAGCTATCAATTATTCAACTTCACTCCCAATAGACTACATTCAAAACACGCATTCAACTTCTTCTGAGATCTCATGCAAGGATGTATCAAAAAGGCAGCAGAAAAATGTATCCTGTCAAGGTACTCATCTCAATATGCTTGTAACCTCAGACTAAGACTATTAAAGAATCTTTATAAACAATTAGTTCTAATACAAAAGTTTTAACGTACAACAAAAAATGTATTCACCTTAATTTCATATCAATAAACTGGTCTCAAATATACAAAAAAGTTTTTGATATTTCGATAAAATACAATCTAAACTAGTCGCATACTGGTAATCCTCAAATTTTTGACCTCACTACTATTAATCTGAATACTTCTGAACTACTTAAAGTCTATCTGATTGTGATCAAACTAGAAAAAGACAAATATAAACGAAATAAATTAAAGCAGTTATCTAACGCAGATGTGATAATTTTTATGATGATCAAACCAAAATGTATGATTCTATCCTTAATAGACAAAAACAAATAATTGTTCTGGACAGATGCCTTGACAATTCATCTGATGATCTTAGTTTGCTTACCTCTACGGATGATGTTAAACGCAAAATAAACAGACATTTCTAACAAACAACAGATACTAGACATCATTTTGTTTCACTCCCAGACAACTGGAAAAAATGGTATAAACCCATTAAAATAATTGACCAAATTTATAATAACCTTATATATCCACTAAGTGAAGATGAATGGAACCATCTCCTACAAACATTACCTAATGATAAAGCTCCCGGTCCTTCCAAAATCTCAAATGAGATGTTGAAACATTTAGGCTCCAAAATGAAACATATTTTTTGGATCTTCACTTGTGCCTGTCTGAAATTTTCCTGTATGTCTGACAGATGGAATTTGGCCTTTATCTATCCCATTCCAAAACCAAAACCATAGGAATATAACTTAAATAATACCTGTCTCATTATTTTACTTGAATGCCCCCATAAAGCAATTGTGAAATTAATCAATAAAGGCTTTTA